GGAGGGAAGGTAGTGGCTTATGGCTCGAGGCAACTCAAGGTACATGAGCAGAATTATCCCACACACGACTTAGAGCTGGCTGCGGTGGTGTTTGCTCTTAAGTTGTGGAGATGTAATTTATACAAGGAGAAATTTCAAGTGTTCTCGGACCATAAAAACCTCAAGTATATCTTCACACATAAAGACTTGAATCTCTGGCAGAGAAGATGGATTGAGTACTTGGAAGATTATGAGTTCATGCTCAACTACCATCCGGGGAAGGTCAATGTAGTTGCCGACGCTCTTAGCACGAAGTCTCGGGGTGAAATCAATTTTTTTGCGGTAAATAGGTGGAAAATGATTTATGCATTGGAGGAGTATGATCTATGGGTGGATGGACCGGAGTATCAACCATATCTATTCAACCTTGTAGCTCAACTGACGCTTCGGTGACGGGTAGTGGAGTTGCAATGCCTGGATTCGGAATTTGATTGGATTAGAGCCCGATTGGAGAATGGAGAAGCGATTGAAGGATGGTCTTGGAAGTATGGAGAGTTGAGATATGGGGAGAAGCTATGTGTTCCCGAAGATTCGTCCCTAAATGAGGAGATACTGGGAGAGTGTCATCGCTCCAAGTTTGCTATCCACCCCGGTAGCACAAAGATGTATAAGGACATGAAGTGTCAATACTGGTGGAGGGGAATGAAGCGAGATGTAGCCAAGTATGTGGCAAAATGTGCGGTGTGCCAGCAGGTGAAGATTGAACATCAAAGGCCAGGAGGATTCCTACAATCTTTGCCTATTCCAGAGTGGAAGTAGGATCACATCACCATGGACTTCGTGTTGGGTTTACCACGGACGTTGCGCGGGCATAATGCAGTGTGGGTCATTATGGATAGACTCACCAAGTCCGCTCACTTTTTGGGTATGAAGACCACAGGTACATTCGAGACTTTGAGCCAGCTGTATATCTATGAGATAGTGAGGTTACACGGCGTTCCGCTCTCGATTATGTCGGATCGTGACTCTAGGTTTGTGGTGAGATTCTGGCAGAGTCTACAACAAGTGATGGGGATGGAGTTACACTTCAGTACGACTTTTCATCCCCAAATAGATGGCCAATCCGAGAGGGTGATACAGATTATGGAGGATATGTTACGCGCTTGTGCGTTGGACTTCAAGGGGAGTTGGAGCGACCACTTACCGTTGGTGGAGTTTGCTTACAACAACAACTATCAGGAAAATATTGGGATGACACCATATGAAACATTGTATGGAAGACCATGCCAATCATCGACGTGTTGGTTAGAAGCCGGCGAGAGTAGTTTGTTTGGACCGGACATTGTTCGAGAAACTACGGAGAAGATTCAACTCATCCGAGAGAGGCTACGGAAGGTGCAAAGTAGACAAAAGAGCAATGCGGACCACAGACGAAGACCCTTAGAATTCAAGGTGGGAGACTACGTATTTCTCAAGGTGTCACCTAAGAAGGGCGTGTTTCAATTCGGCAAGAAGAGGAAGTTAGCGCCAAGATATACTGGACCATTTGAGGTGATCAAAGCGGTAGGCAAGGTGGCATATCAACTTCGACTACCAGCCCAGCTATCCGGAGTACATGATGTGTTCCACGTGTCCATGTTGAGAAGGTGTCACTTGGATGCAACTCCAGTCGTGAACTTGGAGGAGATTGAAATTCAAGACGGAGCAACCTACGGAGAACAATCGGTAGAAATTCTCGACACCCAGGAAAAAGTGCTTCGCAACAAAGGTATCAGATTGGTGAAGGTTTTGTGGCAACACCATGGAGTGGAGGAAGCTACATGGGAACCGGAGCAAGAAATGCGGGATAAGTATCCATATTTGTTCGCTACTTGAGGTAAGTTTCGAAGACGAAAATTTCTTTAAGGGGGGTGGATTGTATTACCCTGTATTTTCTTTATATATGTATATAGATATATAGTAAATAATTGTGGTAAAAATTTGGATATGTGTAGTGATGTGTGTTTGAATTTGGTAGATTGGAAAAATAGAGATTTAAAATGTTAGTGGAAATAATAGTTGAAATTTGGTTTTAATAAGTGAAAATATGAAATTTTAGGTCCTAGAACTTGTATTAAATAGGTTTGGTGTATAAATATGTGTTGGAGAGGTTTGAGATGGATTTTGTTGGCTTAGGAATGGATTGGAAATGGAAAAGTGATGAAACAAGACGTGAACAGTGAATGTGAACAGTGCACTGGCTGCAACTTCAAGGGCGATTTCGACCTTGATGCAGTCAATATCTCTCAAAACTCAAAACATGAAAGTTTTATAGCTCTTTCTTAGAATTCCATAGCATCTTGATTCATCAAAATCGGAGCTCGGATGAGAGAGTTATGCCCAGATAACGAAGTGATGTCAAAACAGCCCAATTAGCTTGAATAGTGCACTGGCTGCAACTTCAAGCCCCATTTAGACCTTGGTGCAGTCAATATATCTCAAAACTCAAAACATGAAATTTGTAGAGATCTTTTTTATCATTCCATATCATCTTGAATAATCTCAATCATAGCTCGGATGAGAGAGTTATGCCCAGATAACAAAGCGATGTCAAAACAGCCCAATTAGCTTCGTTTTGCATTTAACGTCTCCATTTGCATCCTAAATCAAAATATAACCATAATGAGTACATTTAGGCTTCAAATAAGTATAAAAGGCTTTAAGAATCACCCTTTATCACCTTTTATTTGCAAACAACGCAAAACTTCATTAATAGCCGGTTCGAATGGATAAAATAGAAATTTTAGTGTTTCGGGTGTACGTTGACTTTAGTTTTGAGATAAATCATAAAAATAAATGTTTTTAGGTTAAAATAACATTAAAAATAAATTTTTAACGTCGAAAAATTTTAGGGTAGTCATATGGATCAAATTGGAGATTCTTAGTGGCAAAATCGTAATTTTGAAGAAAGCCAAAACAGGCTGTAAACACTGAATTTCGGGGATGAGGTGTTTTAAATCCCATTTTCATCCCATTTGCCCTCATTTCTTTCACTCCACTCTCACCCCACACCTTTTGGAACCCTAAAGAGCATTAGAGAGGAAGAAAAGAAGGAAAAAAAAAGAGATTTAAGGGTAGATTCAAAATCAAAACTCAAGTTCTTCCTACAAACTAAGGATTCAAGGTAGGGGTTTTTTCTCATTCACTTACATTAAGGCTAGGGTATTTATATATGTATGTTTTGGCTATCAATGGTATATATATATGCTATGAAATCATCATCTCTTAGGCCTTTTGCAAGAATTACATGTTTTGAACAAAGTAAGGTTTAATACCCATGAAATCTCCTTTCTAGTTTTAAAACCCTAATTTTTGGAGAGTGATGCATTTCCTTCCTAAATGATTTCTTTATTATGGATTTCGAAACCTTAGTGATTTGTGTTGGATAGAAAAATGATGTTATTGTGATCTCGTGTATTTCTTAGTTGGTTGTAGAATTGTTACATGATATATTTTGGAGATTTGGGATAGATGCTTGTAAATTGAGATAAATGTTGAAATTGTATGTTTGGTTGAGTTTTTTGTGATGCACATGAGTGAGAGGTTCCTTGTAAGGATGCTCACCCCTTCCCAAGAGATTCCCGGCAAGGATGTTTGGAAAATAATGTAGTAATTGGTGAGAGGTTCCATGTAAGAATGCTCATCCATTCTCAAGAGGTTCCTGGTAAGGATGTTTGAGAATCAAATGTGACCTAAAGGGGAGTGAAGATTACCACAAAGTATGCCACCTACCGAAAGAATTTTTGGAAATTGGTTATGACAATTAATGATTATTATTTGTATGTGGTGCTCGTTTATTCATTTAAGTAATATTTTTAAATAAATTTGAGATCCTTTTTAAATGTCACTGCTTTATTTCAAATTATGTATCTATGTTATGTTAAAATTGAGACCGACAGTTTTAAATGCTTTTTTAAACCTTGTATGTGTTTGGGAGAATTTTTCTACAGAGCTTTGTGCTTACCCCCTATCGCTAACATTTTTCAGATTACCCGCTTGAGGAGGAGGACGTAAGGGTTGAGGAGCCCGTTACTTGGGCGACTCCACTGGACGGGAGTGTGGATCCCGAGGTGGACGCATAGAGTGACCTCCTTTCCTTTTGTACTAGACTAGGACATTCTTTTGAAATATTGTGTAGTCTAGCTTCTTTTGTTTATTCCGCTGCGCTTCTTTAATTAATTTTTGAGATGTAATAGCCATGACTTGGGCTTATTCTTTTGGATAATATTGTAAATATTCTTGGATGACAAATGAAGTCTTGTTTCTTAAGGGATTATATTAGTGCTCTCAAGATATAAATAATTTTAGAATGTAATGTCGTCCAGGGTGTGTTTTGGGGTGTTATGATTCGTGACTGTGTCTCCTGGATATCCATATGCCTGCCTTCCATACCCTCTATTCTCTTCTCTAACCTATCAATCCTCTATGGTAGCATGACTTTCGAAGTGGTTGGAACAGTGGTAGATGAAGGATCTGCAGGTACAAGAGTGGATGTTGGTCTATCTATACCAACCCAAGACATAGTATCACTCTTCCTCTCTGACTAACTGCTAATAGGCCCCTTCTCCGAAGAATCAAATAATTCTCATGTGTCTTCTTCACCCCGGCCTAGATACAAAATTTCCTAATCACCTTGGCGAATGGCATATTCCCCCTAGGCTTACTCTCCAATGCCTAGTCTTTGATCACTCCACACATAAACAATGCAATATCTATCTGTGACCCTTTCATGATCTCATAAAACAAAATAATCTTACTAATAGGTAACCTCTTATTAGACACCTTAGGCATAACATTATATTGCAAAATCTTACTCATAGTCCGGTAATCAACAATCAACTTACCCACACTGAACTACCCATCAAACTGAGCTAGATACTTATACATTGTTGTCATAAACTCAGCTAATGACTTTGCAACAAACTTAGTGTACGGGTATTTAATGTCATCTACCTCTGGCCTTTGATAACCCAAATACTCAGTTATTGTATTAGGTGTACTTGTATAATCTGGCCTTTCATTGTCATCCTCAAGATCCTAAGGTCCCCATCCACCTCTCTCAAATCACTATAGAACTCTCTACACAGTGACAAAATATAACCATCAACCTTCTGAAAGAAAAACTCTAGACCCAATTTTACAATTCGATGAACTGGCACCACCTTCCCTAGGCTCCTATAGTCCACCATACACTCACAGGTAGCAACCTTACCTGCTATAATAGCCTCATAGGAAGCCCTATGCCTCTTCCTAGACTTGGACTCTGGCAGCACCTCGGGGTTTTTCTCATTCGTATTCGCCTTTCCCTTGCCTTTGTCACTCCTAGTGGTTTGCCTAGATGCTGCTAAAGAAGTCTCTCGAGTCTTAGCCATACCTATCAGACACATACACATAACAACAATGAAGAGAATAATAGCCCAAGATCCCGGAAACAAACCATTCTCAGTAAAACCCACAATTGTCTAAACCTAGGGTTTTAGTGAATGAAATGAAATGGATAGAGAAGATAAGAGATAGATTTGGTGAAGAAGGGTGTGGGGAAGTATTTTCAAAAGTTATAGAGGAGAAAGAGAGTGTGGGGGAGCATTTTGAAATGTAAGAATGAAGAAACCAACGATTTTCCCCTTTAAAACACCGAAAATGTCATTTTTGACCTTCAACCAATTGATCAACTACTTCAATCGGTTGAAGTCAACTTTTCATCTAATCAACCAGTTGAAGTTTGATGATCAATTGGTTGGTTGGCTTTTTTGCATTTTGTCATTTTTTTTGTTTTCTTTCATTTATTTAACTGATAAGACTTCTTAACACCTATTTACATGCCTAAGATACACCATTACCCACTTAAATATAATAGAATAATTAAACACACAAAACATGTACTACACGTACACATTTCCTAGGGTTTAAGATGAATGTCAATTAAGGATACTAAATGAAACCTAAAGCCACTTTCGTAGGGTACACGATTGCATTTAGTGAATGCAACAAACTTTCAAACCCCTAGGTCACCCCTAGTGGGCGAATTGTGTCTCGTGAAGGTTTTCAGTAAAAGTGTCTACAAACTTCCCTTTTTTGTACATCATGAACTTAGAACATATTATAATCTTCTAAATATCAATGAGATACACTAACCAATTTTCCATCCTCCTTAAGACATTTACACAACACTACACTACAGATTTAAATGCTATGAAAAAATATTCGCATACACATTTTCATAAGAGACTCGTGTGTGTGTGTGGAGTGATAATGCAATTTAATAAATTTATTAAATAAAACACACACATATATTAGCTATCCAAAATTAGCTTCAATGAAAATATACCATGGATTTTCTCTCAAAACATACAACACTCTGATTATACTGATGTTTCACTCATTGTCTATATGTTTGACAGATTCTTGTAATTCAAAGCAAAGCATAGCTCACATATAATCTAGAAATGACGTACAATTATGCAAATGAAATGACATTGGCATAATCTCATAAAAGGAATGTTAAGCAAATGAAAGTAATCCAGTTAACATATACTTGCTATGGTTTTCGAGATCAAAAAAGGACTTTCACTGGTTGTAACATGGCCTCTAGTAAAAAGCAAGCTAAACAAACGAAGGGATATAGGAATTCAAAAATGATTTATCCCGAGAATGTGACTTTACTAACCACATTTCCTCTTTTGAAATCAATTAGTGTTTACCTTCATTTCTCTTCCATTCCCTTATTCATTTCATATCATTTTTTTCCCTTTTTTTTCTTAATTTCTTTGCTTTGTTTTCCATGAATGTCAACAATGTGCTCAAGCATTCATCATCCCTTTTCTTCCATTCTTGCTTTCTCTTTTTGTTTCCCCATTTTTCAACCACAATCCTCTTGTTTATATGACACTCTTCATCCTGGGATAACCAAGGTAGGATAACATATTCTATGCACAACTTGGTTAAACATGTGATTAAAGAAATGAAATTTACATTCAAGCTGAATCACGGCTTCTAGGGATGATGTTAAGAAAGAATAGGCTAAAAATCAAATTATTCACAAATGGCCTAAGATCATTTCTCAAAAATACATGGCAAGGTACATCTTTGCATTGAGATAAAATAAACTAACTACATCAGTTACACTAACCAAAACAAAAATAATAAGATTATTGAATGAAATAAAAAAATAAAAAAATAAATGAGATTATTGAATGAAATTGAATTTAAAAGAATATTGTTTTGAGTAAATGTATTTCAATCCTCCAATATAGAATGACAACCAAGCTCACAAGGGTAATGCATTGATCTCCATTATGTATGTCAAGCATTTTAAGAGGTGAATTTGATTTAATAAATTGTAAAATTAGCATTCTCAATGTGCACATAGGGTGAGTTTCACACAAAAAACATGTACATGATACTTAAGTATACAATAAAGTCCTCTAATGTGTTAGTATGCAAATAACTCAAGATTCAAGTAAAATAATCAATAAATCTCACGTTAATTAAAAAAGAATAATATACTCCAAATAAGATGTTTTGTCTTATTTTTCTTATCTTTTCATTTTTTTTTTCAAAAATTTTTCAATTTCTCATCATTTTTTACAAACAACATGGTGGTATACATGGCAATTACCCCCCAACTTAAATCATGTATTGTTCTCACTGCAAAACAGTCATTCAACGAGAAAATGATTATATTGAGGGTAAGAAAACACCGAACATTGTTTCTATAAAGAAAAATCACCATCTGCAAAACAACACAAGCTATACAAAGAAAAGTAATTACACTAAAATAAACTGTTTACAAAAGAAATAAAATGAAAACTACCAATTGTACACTACTATCATTAAAAGTAATCATTTAGTGTCAAGATCCTTATACACATGACCAATCAAATCTTCTACAACCTCCTCTTTTGAAAAACCTTCCAAGAGTAGCTTAAGCCATTGTCTATTAACTTTAAAAGTTTGATCATTCTTAGGATTTTGAATTTTCATAGCCCCATTAGGATAAACAACACAGACTGTATAGGTTCCAGTCCATCTTGACCACAATTTCCCTAGAAAGATGTAAAGACGGGAATTGTATAATAGTACTTTCTGACTTGACTCAAAGGTTTTTTCTTACTATTGATTTATCATGAAAAAATTTAACCTTTTTTTTTATAAATCCTAGTACTGCCATATGCATCCCTGCGTATTTCCTCCAATTGATTCAATTGCAATCTTCTGTGCTCACCAGCTAGACCCAAACTATAATTCAATGAGTTTATGGCCCAATATGCTCAGTGTTCAATCTCCACTGGCAAATAACAGGTTTTGCCATAGATCAGCCTATAGGGAGACATAACTAAGTGAGTTTTGTATACTGTACGATAGACCCATAAAGCATCAATCAATAGAATTAACCAATCCTTACGGTTAGGGTTCATCATTTTTTTTTCCAGTATATGCTTAATTTTCCTATTAGCCAATTCAGTTTGGTCATTTTTCTGTAGGTGATAAGCAATGGACACTCTGTGTGTGATACCATATTTATGCATTAAATTTTCAAATGGTCTATTACAGAAATGTGAACTACTATCACTAATAATCACCTTAGACATAATAAACCTAGACAAAATATTTTCCTTAAGAAATTTTATTAAAACTTTATGGTCATTTTTTCTAGTTGGTATAGCCTCTACCCACTTAGACACATAATCAATAGCCAATAAAATATAGAAATTATCAAAAGATAAGGAAAAAGGCCCCATGAAAATCAATATCTCAACAGTCAAGATCTCAATCACTAGAATGGAGTAAGGGCATCATATTCCTTTGAGTCACTGAACCTAACCTCTGGCATTTGTCGTAATTTTGACAGAATTGGAAACAGTCTTTGAATAGGCTAGGCTAATAAAACCTGCACCACAAGATCATTGTAGTAGTCTTCTTTGAGGAAAAATGGTCTTCACATACTTCCGAATGGCAAAAAAATATAACATCCTATTGCTTGCCATCAAGTACGCATCTTTTCATATCTTGGTCAGCACAGTATTTAAACAGATAAGGGTTATCAAAGAAAAATTTCTTCACTTCCACAAAAAATTTCTTTTTTTCTTGTGGACTCCAATGAGATGGTATTTGTCTTGTGACCAGAAAATTAACAATGTTAGCACACCAAATACAAGATGTAGTAATAGAAAATAAATATCCATCGGGAAATCTATCCTGAATGGGCAAATGCTCTTGTGCATCTTGAAACACAAACCAAGATAAATGATCTACTACAACATTCTCAACTCCTTTCTTATCTTTAATGATCAGGTGGAATTCTTGGAGGAAGAGGATCCACCTAATGAGTCTCGATTTTGCATCCTGCTTTGACAACAAATATCTTAAAGTAGGGTGATCAATATAGACAACAATAGGTGAACCAATGATATAAGATTTAAACTTATCAAGTGCAAAGACAACAACTAGCAATTTCTTTTCCATGGTAGTGTAATTCATTTTTGCCTCATTTAGGGTTTTTCTAGCATAGTAAATAACATGCGGTTTCTTATCTTGCCTTTGGCCTAATACTACTTCCACTGCATATTCACTTGCAACATACATAATTTTAAATGGGAGGTCCCAATTAGGTGGTTGCATGATTGGAGACGAAATTAACACATTTTTCAGTTTTTGGAAAGCAGCCTCACAATCAGGTGACCACACAAATTGAGCATCTTTTGCTAAAGATTACATAAAGGGAGCTGATGAGCATGTAATATTGTATATTTAACGCCCTCATTACATTTATTTTGACTCAACTTTGTATTTATTTACTTAAAGTTAGTCGAATTTGTGAATAATATGAAATTTTGATGTTGCAGGTAATTAGGGTAAGTGATGATTTTTGAAACCCTGAAACTAAGTGTGGATAAGTGGTGAAGAGATGGACACAATAAATGAGGATTTGGAGGCTTCAAAAGTGCAAGAAATCAAGAAAACATAGTGGTATCGGTATCAAAACATTTGGTACCGTACCCAAGAGGTTTAAAGCTACTGGAATATTGGTACTAGTACTTGATGAGCACGTAATATTGCATATTTAACGGCCTCATTACATGCATTCTAACTCAACTTTTCATTTAATTACTTAGAGTTTGTCAAATTTATGAATAATGTTGAAATCTTGATGTTGCAGAAAATTATAGCGTAAATGATGGATTTTGGAACCTTGCAACTGAGTGGTGAAGATATAGACACATTATATGAGGATTGAGAGGCTTTAAAGTGAAATAAATTAAGTAGGCAGTGGTATTTGGTATCATAGGCACCGGTATCTAAGCCTACTTGAATTTTGGTACTAGCACCCGCACTATTCGGTATTGGTACCTATGTATTCCCTATTTTTGAACA